CAAGCATTTGGTGTTAAGGTTAATTAAAAAAAAATCTTATTTGGTTGTCTCACTGGACACCAAATTCTATAACATACTGCTTTTCCTTGATACACTGACATGAGGAGATTGGAGGGCATATATTTATGCTGGATAGCCACCAGGCAGATTTATTTGGAAGATATACCAGCTTTCTGTGCATCAGACTTGCATCTACTCAAACTAAAGTGACATATTTGTAAGTGCATGAGGTTTATTCCCTTGTCCTCTTCCAGACACATGCATTTGCAGCTGCCCTCGCAGGGTGCATGCTTGAGGAATGCTCTTACCCTGGATTTGGGAAGAACTGCCCTCACAAACATTCTCTTTGTTGAGCAAATACCAGTCAGAATTCAGTGTGTATTTTACTCACTCTGGCCTTAAATTTGTTTTCTTCCTGCAGCTTCTCAAAAGGTCACCTTTAAAAGATTGTGTACTTTTTTGCCACCAGGTTAATGGTCATCCACTTTCTTGTACTTCACAAAAACAGTGCCATTAAGCCCAGGGGCTAAGTAAGACTTAGAATGTCTAAATTATACCTCAAATGTATAAATGGCAGAAAAGGACCTCCAAGCTGCACGTTACAGCGCTGGCAGTCTATTCTTGTCCCATGGCTAAGGTCTGTGGGTTTGGACCCGTGAGCTAGAAAGCAGTAATGAATCTGCACCATGACTACATTCAGAATATTGCAAGGTAACATGGTGCTAAAACCTGTATCAGGATTTAGCAGTAGGAATCTGAAATAGCACTTTGCCAGATCATCTAGGCACATTAAGCTATATTTAAATGTAGCATATAAAAATGAAAGACTAAAAGTCAGCGTTAGAAATTGTCTTTCTCAGATCTATTTTAGTGTTAGCCGGTCGACTTGAGACATTGCTAAAAGGAGCCTGAGCCTACAAGGTAACTCTTCAGAAAAACTACTTCAAAGGCTGCATATTAATGTAAATGAAAATCAATTAACACAGCCAGATCTTCAATTAGGAATGATTTGTGCACATGATTTGTAATTCCCTCTCTTAACCCCTTTCTTTGTGACTGAGATTTCAATTTGAATCCCTCACCACAAGGTATTTTCCAGAAAATATGCATAAGCCACCTACTGCTAAAATACAGATCAGAAACTAACGCACTAGTTCCAGTTTCCAAACCAATAATAGCTAAATAGTCATATAAATAGGAACACCCCAGGTGCTCTGCCGAGCCTGGACCACCATGAATAACAATTTATATTGTGTGAAGCCCAGAAGGAATTACTGGTAATAGCATCTGGGCTGCAGTAGGTTAAGGACACACTGAGCAATAAGACGTAAAGCTGTTAGTAATGACAAAAGGTGCATCTTTTATAAAAAGCCTTTACAAAATCAGCTTTGAAATTTATTAGCTGTATTCTTTAATGGACAAAGTTTGCAAAGGTCCATAAGAGACACTTCAGTCCCACTGAGCACTGCAAGGAGCAGCACTTTACACCAGTTTGCCCCAGAGCCCCTTTCTCAACACACTCGGTATTTTTGCTGTCTGCATTTCGGTTGGATTTGGGGGGAATTCACGAGGTGGGTCAGGGCCGTCAGCCAGCGAGGAGCCAGCGCGGAGGCTGCGGTGCCCAGTGACGAGGGTGCTCAGGAGCACCCGCCATCCCAGCCAGGGAAAACATCAGCTCACTAAGGAAAGGCTGCCTGCTCCCAATGCCTTCCCACCCCTCACTGGCATTTCGGTGATTGACAAACAGGCAAAAATATATTTATCTAAGGATTATCTATATTGAAAACCGGACACGGGATTTTGTCTTTGTAAACAGTGCAGTAATATCTGGTGTTTGAACAAAATGAAGGGTAGTCTTTCCTTCCATCCAAAGCACCAAAAGCTCTTGTATTTACGGAAGGAGGGGAGACATTTGGTTTTATTGATCCTGCTGGCAGAAGATGATTTGGATTTTTTTTTTTAAAAAAGATCTGTGACTAAGGGAGCAGTGGGTTGATTTTCTCTTTATTGGAAGGATTATTAAGAAGTACGTGGCATAGAAGGGTGACTTGCCCTTGAAAACAGCCTTTAAAATCTGGTACAATTAGGAAAAATCCAGAATGATTCATCATATTTCTTCATAGTGAGTAAAGTCACATTGATATATTGAGGGCCCAAAATGTATTTGGTCTGAATTTGCTCTGCATTTGCTCTGAATAATAATTGTATTTTGAAAAGCTACATTTGAGGCGAGCACTTTTTTTACAGATGGGAACACAGCTACTGCCATGCACCTAAACAAAGCAGCAGAGAAATAGCTCCTTCAGAAATTAACACCCTTATTGATAGTTTTGCTGTTGCTGCAAGCATGATCATTCCTTATCATCCAGCTATAAATAATCCCCTAGGTGCTTAAATATCAAAGGGCTGAGCTGGTGGTTACATCCAAGTGCATTATCCATGTGTACATGTCAAGGGATGGAAAGTGGACAGCATAAAACAGCTTCCCCCAGATATTTGTCAAATAAATCTATTCTCTATGTAAAATAAGGAAGCGGCAGCCCTGCATAGTAGCTCTCTTTATCCACAGAGCAGAAGTAAACTGAGTAAAATGGTGGGAACTTCTCCTGCCAATGATTTCCAAAAATCAAATTCCATTGACAACTGAATCTCTTTCTACACTAACAGGAACAAGTTCAGAATTAGGTTGAGAAATATTATTAAAGGAGAAACAGGTTTCTTGCAAAGAATTTAAATAAAATAAGCATCAGTACCTCATAAAATATGATCTGAACACAGTCCTCTGTTTTTGTAAGTAAAGCTCAGATGATTTCTTATGTGGGCATATTGCTAAAATTTATTTACTGCTGAACATATGCTGTTTTTTGTTTATCTGATTTTTAAATTCTCTTTCAATCAAATACACAAGTTTTTTGTTGTTGTTGTGTAAGGAAATGTCAAATGTTGAAGACAACACTGAGGTCTTGCAAGTTTCCATCTGGACAAAGACATCATTGTCTAATTTTTTACTCAGCTTAGAAGCTCATCTGAAGCCTAGTGCTCTTTGCTGAACTCATCTCTATTTCTTAGCTTGGATTATTAATTTTGCATCCTGATAAGATATTTATGCAAAGAGGCAGCTAGTTCTTTCCTTTAAAAGTGATATTATTTGCAGGAATGACCACACTTTTTTCCTCAAATGAAGTTATGCAAATCTGATCGACTAAAGTAAATGTTTCATAAAACCAATGACTGTTTAAATTGTGGGACTAAATTGTTTGTATATAAATATTACCTTTTATATTCCATTTGAGTTTTATGTAGATGAACACATTACTTTAATGATCTGCATTTACAGAGAGAGACAGGGAAAGTCTGACTCTGAAATCCTCCGCAGCCAGATGGCTGCCTTTTCTTGCATGAGATTAAAAGATGTTTCTCATTCACAACCCTGCTTCGGAGGCAAATTAATATAGCCAGCTAAATTGCTTGTGTTTTTGGAATAAAATTTAAAGAGAACTTTTTAAAGCAATTGGTGTCACAGGTTCCTAGAGCAGATTGCTCTCCAGGTACAGCATGCTGGTTTTAAACATTCAGTAATTAATGGAAAGTATTCCGTGTTAATTGACTGCTTCAGGAAAGGGAAATATAATGACTCCTTATTAATCATGAAAAGAGACATACAGCATGGAGGCACTGCAATAATTGCGCTAACGGTTGAGAAATGTTAATTAATGAAGAGAACAATGATGTAAGAAATTAGCTACATAATGCTCGCTGCTGGTGGGGGCAGTGCTTTAAACACGTTATTTAGCATAGCAGCCATTGGATGGTGCCTTAAGGAGCAGACACCTCTTGCCCTTTCCTTCACTCAGCTGCAGAGACCCAAATGTGGCCAGTGTTTTGTTTTTTTAATGAGCTAAAATATGCTCTGCAAAATTATATTTTTCCAAGAGTTTTCAGTTTGAACTTCCAGATGCAAAACTATTCAAACTGATTCACAGTGTTCAATTTATAAAAGAATATTATTCAAATATAAGAGAGTATGTTACTATTAGTTTAGTGGGGAACAATTTCTTGTTAGATCGTCTGAACTAGACAGGTCTGCTAGAGAGGACAACCTAGAACCAGCAATCAGTCATATTATTGCCTAGATTTATGTAAAAATCCATAGGACATTAAAAAGCAGAACTGTTCTGGCAATTAATCCAAGAGCAGTAGTAAGCAACTCACAATCATTAATGGATTGAAGGCCCCAAGGTTTGCACCATCACTCTATAGAACCTTTGAGACAGCAACAAGGTGAGACAAATTCATCAGTCTGAACACCTTCAAGTGCGTCAAATTATTTGTTACAAATAAATTGCCAAAAAACCTAGCTGTATTCTCTCCCTCTCTCTTCAGGGATAGGATTTGGTTCTTATGGTTATCTTCATATTTGCATGGTAGTTTTTGCAAGGAAGTGCCAGGCTGTGAGGTTTCTGCAATTATTCACAATTTTGCCGCAGTGTTATTGGTCACCTAAATCACATGGATTTTTTCATCTATGACTAGAGAACTAGAGAGTATGACAAAAAGTAAAGGGCAGAATAACAAAAGCCCTCACACTGCAGGTGTCAGAAAAAACTACAATTCTGCTAAAGACTTGTGCTAAATGAACTTTCATCAAAACAACATGCTTTTATAAAGAATAGCTCTCAACAGGAAGCCTCAGTTTGCAATAGCACCAGCGAGGAATAAGTCCCTTAAGTCAATGGTGTCACAATAATCTAATACCCTAGTACAGTAATCAGGCCTACAGGTGTATAATAAAATAATCCGACAGCGCAGTGCTTCATGCACCGTGGTGCTAACACAGCCTTTTGCTGCAATGGCCCAAACAAATCTGAAGCCCAAGGGGGGTTCGGTCAGGGCTGATGAAGTGAATCCTGCTGCAAGAGGCCAATGCAGGGACAGGCACAGCTGCTCTTGTGGCTCTTCCCGCACCCACTTGTTTTAATGCTCCTGAATTTCTTTTCCAGATGGAATATCCTTGGGCTTCAAGGTGCTCTCCTCAGCTCCTTCATAGAGCCCATGTACTTGCACAGCATCATTGTGGGAAGCCTCTGTCACACTGGTCACCTTTCCAGGGTAATGAGCCATAGGATAGAAGACATTGGTCAGCTGCCAGCTTCATATCGGCGTAATCAGCTGCTTCTCAGTGGTAAGCACACACCTACCTGGAAGACAAACGATCCCCTTCCCCATCACTGATCGCACCCTTCTCCAACCAGAAAGTTAGATTCTTGGTACTTGTTTATGTCAAGTTCAGTATCTACCTCTAAACTGCTTATTTCTATATTTTATTCTCCTTTAGTAATAAGAACCTACATATCCAAGAGGTTGCAACCAGTGTTGACCCCCAAATAGAGCAATTTATTTGTTGTTAGTGAAGTTCAAGGGAATGTTACTGGGAAGAAATGAGAAGGACTCTCAGTTTGGAGAGCAGCAGCTCTCCCCCGAGGTGCAGCTTCTCTCTTGTGTTACTAGTGTCAAGGTTCAGGTGTCTGCCTGTCTCCAGCACCTCCTTCCTTCTCAGTTAGCACTAGGGGCTGTGGCACACGCTGACCCAGCCAACAGCTGGGGCAATTTAAGAGATTAACATCCAGCAACAACCACCCTTGTAGAGGTTGCCATCACTGGGAGAGATAGTGGAGTTTGATATCTTTGAACTTCTCAGCTGCAGAGAAAGACCCTTCCTGAAGGCCACCAATTAGTAAACTGTTGCATGAATGTAAAAGTCTGTTCCTTTAAACATTTATGCACATGCTTAATTTTAACTATGTAGGCAGCATCCCTCGGGGTAGGTTCAAATCTGAAATGAATATGCATATGTAGGTGGTTTCCTGAAAGGAGGTGGAGTATTAAATGGGGAGTTTAGGCACTTTTAGGGAAATGGGCCATAAAATTCTGGCCCATTTTATCTCTTTCCAACTCAGACAATATTTCAGACAATATTTCAGCATGAAAAACTTGGGGCAACAGGTTCAGGTGTTTACATTCGTGTTCAGGTGCTTTCTGCTTCTAAGAATTAAGACTGATGGACAAGTATGAGGAAAAAAAAAAAGGAGATTTTCTTCTCATACTGCTACCTTGTCCAAAACAGAAAACTTGACTACTGTAATAAGAGGCAAGAAGATGGTGGACCGTCTCTCCTTTGGCACTGTGCTCCTGTTATGCTCAGCAAGCCCTTCAGTTTCTATCTTCCCAGCCTCTCTCCATAAGGCAGTCCCTTTCCCCTCCACTCACTTCTTCCCACTCAAGCCATTCTCTTTAAAGACATCTGTGATATGCCCAGATTTTCTCAAGCATGTCCTCTTTTTCTGCTAAAAACTCACATGTCTCACATGAAACCTGAAGATTTTCTACGTGTGCTCAGAATTTCTGGGCCTGAAGCTCAGTAGCTTCAAGGAGGCTGCCGGAACCAGGAATAGCAGAAATCTGCAATGTGGTGTGTATGTGTTTGTGCAATAGTGCCAAGCAAGTCCATCCCATCAGTACCCATATTCAGAACTCCTGCTGCTTCACTAGTTGCTAGCAGTCACAGACATAACAGGTAGGCAAAAGAGAAGGGCTGTTTTCTTATGCCTGTTGTCCTGCCTTTTGGCACTCCACAGAGAAGCTTTGCTGTCTGCCAAGGCTGCTCCCAGCAGCATGTGCAGCCCGAGTAGTCCCTGGGCAGGAACAGGGGAAGATTTCTGCTCCCTTTGTTTCATTAGGAGCATTGCTCCATCATGGTACTGCAAGCACAGAGTGGTGCCACCACTCCTGCAGGAAGCAGCTTGGGCAGTTCCAGATACCCTTCAGGCTACTCTTGCTGCTGCCATTTCTCCATCCCAGTCTCTCTCCCTGCCCCAGGTCTTTGGACCTTTCTTGCTCATCCCTCCAACCCCTGCTTCCTTAAATGCCTCAACCAGGCAGCAGCCATCTGGCTGCATCTCAGAAAAATTCCAGAGTATTGAAAGCCTTCAGATCCTTGCAGGGATTGTGAGTGTTAGGAATCTTCAGCTCTGTACAGGATCAGACCCTTATTTGACTCTGAGACTGTGATAGTTGCTTTTCAAGAGGGGTTGCTGAGACAATACAATGGCACAGATACAGGGAGGGGAGGGGAAGATGCCTCATTGGAGTACACCAGTATCATTCACACGTTCCTCTAGGTTCCCAAGTCGAGAGAGTACTGTTTTTTATCTATTTTGTGATCTTTTTCTTTACTTTTTTTTTTAATTTGTCCTTGTGTCAAAATTAATTTGGCCAAGGAAGACAGAGTGATAGTTTAGCCACTGGGAAAATTCTCAGGTTCTGTGTGGTTTAGCACATACGGTGCATCCATGTTTTACAAGGTAAATAGGTCAAAAGGCTTATCCTTTTTTGAGCAGCTTATCTCCACTTTTAATTCTTCAGTGCAGCCATCTGAAGAGAAAAGGCAGTATAATGCAAGTATCTGGGAAATTCTGCGCAACAAGCTCCTTCTCCTCTGCCTACTGTGATGCACCCTGTCCCTCACACAACTCACCCCCTCCTCTTCATCCCACACACTCATCATGAAGAGGAGGAAGGGATCTACAGCTGCCCAGGAGATTTGGGAAATGGCCCACTCCCCATATCCCAAACCTGGCTGTTACCTTGGCCTCTGCTTACCAGAGGCCTCTGCGTCTCCAGCAGAGCTCTTGATGGAGTCCTTCTACCTGCTCAATAGCATCATATGACTACTTACTTCACCAAAATCACAGAATCACAGACACTTTTATTGAGACTCCATGGGGCACAGGGAAATCCACCTGAACTGGAAGCACAGTAAGAGGTTTAATAAGGGATATAACCACAATGCAGTTAGTGCTATGCTGACACTGTACAGGAGCTTAATGGCTCATATCTGGCCCTAAGCAGGTATCTATGTCTGTGAGCCATTGTCAGAGATACCAGAGAAGTTAGAAATTCAGCAAAGTGGTTCTGGTGTCACTTTAAATATCTGCTTTTCTCATAGCTGGCTTTTTTCCTTCTCTGAGACTTTTGCTTGGAAAACTTGCTCATTGTTTGCCGCTCTCTTTGTTGTCTTTCTTCCAACAAGGAGAAACAGAGGGAGGAATTTGCCTCCCTCCGTCTACATTGTCCCATTTCCCAAGCCATTATTTGTACTATTCCCTCACCACACACCTGAGGGAGCCAATCCTGTAGCCCTGATTAAAACTTTCATTGCTCAGGCTTACGCTGCTTGTCTCTTACCTGGAAAACTCTGCCAACTTGTTCAGTGAATATTGAAATGGGCACCTAGCAAAAGTCACACAGAACTTGTTAAAGCTCAAGCCACAGCATGTTTAACCAGGCAATCCCACCTTCCAGATTCCTCCCAGGGATCAAACGAGCGAGGAATGTTAAATCGCAGGTGCCCTTCCAATACAAGGATGCCAATTATTTCTGTTACCGCGTCAATGCAGTACAAACGATTCAACAGAGAGTCACAGTGTAGGATGAGAGAGCCTTAGGTAACTCCTCGCCCCCACAGAAGAGTCATCAGAAAGATTTTCCACTCACACCAGGCTCAGACAGATGGAAATCCATTCTTTCCCTGGGATTACTTTTGGGTGGCTTTTTCAGAAGAGAAAAAAACCCTCTGTCATTTTTATTTCCTTTACTATTAAGACCAAGGCTATTCTGAAGGGTATTCTAAAGAGGCATGAGGTTTTGCTAGGAGAAGGTGGAGAATGGGGACAGGGTTTGGTTTGTATCCCAGAATACTCACATTTATATCAGACTTCATTTTTTGTTGTTGTTGTTTTTTCAGTTCCTACAGTCTCTTATTGTTTTATTGTTTTCTTTATGGTGCCGTTTTCAAACAGGATATTTTACATAAAGGAGAGAAAATGATCTTGACTATCTGGGAGTTGCCTTTCAAATAAAGTCAGAACAATTATCTTTCAGGAGAAAAATATTAAAAACGATTAAAAAGAACCCAAAGCCATAATAATCAGAGAATATATCCAGGCTTGCCACTCCACTTGATTGTCACGTGTCTCACTGTGTTATTTTAAACTCCTGCCCTTGGTGTTCAGAAAATGATGTGAACATAACTTCTACTTACATAAATAAGTATATTTATATAGGATTGGAGCAAGTTCAGAGGTCTCGTGGGCATCCTGCATAAGTGTCCACCTCAGGCAACGGGCCAGCCCATAGGAGCAGGCAAGGGGCTCATCGTCACCCTAGGAAGGATTCCAGGGCTCATGAACAAGGGCAGCTCCTCTCTTTTGCCCCTGTGATGCTCCTATGATACCTCTGTGTGAGAGAGGACTTTTCCTTTGGAAAAAGCCAGCAGACAGTTTTTTTTCTGTTTTCCAGATGAGTTCTCTAGTGTCTTTCCCTGCCCCTACACCTCCTGTGTGCCATGGGAAAGGAGAGGACGTTGTCTCCTGGTTCCCAGCACCAATTACCATTTATTAGCTAAATAACGTGCAGGACTTCTGTCCCTTGGTCAGTGCAGATGATCACCCCAGGGGGATGGCCCATGGGCCATGGGGACGTGTCCTCACATTGCCCCGCTCAGCCCTTTGCCCAGCCCCTGCACACGAGCGTGCGCTGCTGGCTGCCGGGGCACACTGCACTGCCCTGCAACCATCTGCATGCACAGAGGTCCGGGCAGCTCAATTCCCATTCCTTCCTTTCCCCTGGTCAGTATATTTGCAGCATTTGTGTTGAGTTGTTGACCTGTGGCGTCTTTGCAAGGCAGGTATTATCAGAGTGTTTGCTGTGTTTTTTGGCACTCAGCCTTTTAAGCTTTTGGGTGCTATCTTGACAGAGATTGGTGCCTAGTGCCAAACATCAGATTCGGATCTGTTTGCATCTTGTTCAGTATAGACATATTTGAATAGCACCAGAGAGCTATCTGATTTCCAAGCTTTCCATTTCTATTCAGTTGCCTTGGAGAGCTGGAGTTTTAGATGCAGACTGATCTGTTATCTCAGAAGAAAAAAAAAAGGAAAAGGAAAAAAGAGCCAAAAGAGGCGTTAATATGACATGAATGTGTTTACAAACCTTGGATGAGGTTATGATTTAAACACACTTCTCCTCTACATGCTGCAGCAAGTTCACTTGAACTGACTGAGCCCACTTTCCTGGTGCTGATTTTGCCAAAGCTAGGAAGTGGTTGTCTCATCATATTAATTTTCCCCTTTAAGAGCCGCTTGTGAATCCCTTCAGTGGAATATGTGCAAGTTCTTTATTAACTTAGATCTCAAAATCTGTCAGCATGTTTTGTATTTTCTTATCCCCCATTTACACCACCCAAGATCCAATCCGCATTGCAGTGAAGGCCTCAGCAGTTAAAACCCGATAAATACACAGGGCCAGAGAAAGTTCACCTTGAGGAACACATGGCAGAAGCACTTTACTGCTTAGGTCCTTTAAAAGATAAGTTATCCCATTAAAGCCTTTCCGAAAGATTTCACTCAGCAACTGTAACACTGCTGTCAATACCACGCAATACTATTTAATAGCTTTCTTTAAGCTAAAAAAGGTTATCTTAAAAGATCTATAGAGATCTATAGAAAAAGATCTATAGAAATAGCTAAATTATGCTCCTGAAAGATGACAAAGTGGTAACCAACAGTGACACCGGTATCTCCAGTGCACAGTGATGGTGCTTCCACCCAAAGGTATTCTATGTGCATGGAGACCCACCACATTTTTGCTGCTTCTGAAAGTAGAAACTGGAAATTATGGAAATTACAGGTCACCATCTCTCCTGACAGGGGTCAGTCATGCCGAGGCTCGACAGCCCGGAAAGTCTCCTGGCTTCAGCGTGAACTGGATTGCAGGGACTGCCGACCTGGAGGTGATCAATGCCACGACGGGGACGCGGAGCTGCGGGAGCCCCTCGCGGCTCTGCAAGCACATGCTGTTCTCTCGCTGGGCCAAGCTCTATGGGAAGGTAGGCCTGGCGCGGTGACAGACACTGTCTCCAGTCCCAAAATGGGCCAGTCCTTGTCCGGGGACCTACTCTTTTTTGATGGTTTCCTGATGAAAGCGCAAAGCCCAGAGGTTTCCTACATTCTCCCTGGTGAAGACCAGGAGCTGGTGGAGGTTATGAGGCACGGCATGCCTGCAAGGGGTCAGCTCTGAGCTGAGAGCACAGAGAATGAGAAATGGACATTCTGGCTGTTCTTGGCATTTGGGGCCATTTTCAGACTGGCATTGAAATGCCAGAGGAGTGTAAATGCTCATATAACCAGAATAAGGGATTTTTTCCTGTGTCTCACCCCAAGTATCACTTAGTTTATGAGGCAAGTATCCAAATTATCAGATTTTCTGAGGGATGTCATTGAGGCACCTACCTGTTTTCATTGCCAACACATTGCCTTCCTCACCAGAGCTAGCCAACTAATGTAGATGCTGTGGATTGTCCCTTCCCCTCCTCTTCCTCACTCCCCACTGCTGTGCTGATAAATCCATATGACAATAGAGCGGCTTCTCCCAAGGTAAACCATCAGGCGCTGAGTGCTTTCACCTTTCATGACACTCAACAGCAGTGCCATTTAGTGGCATTAAAACTACAGGCTGCACTTAATTAAAACAGTCAACATCCCTTGATCGTCAGCCCTGCAGCCTCTAGGGAGGATGGCTATCCACTACCCTTATTTGAAATGGCACCAAAATCAATATAATCTCGCTTTCAATTTTATTCTTCTTACAGACAGGAGAGGGTGGCAGGACTTATGGATGGCCAAAAAATACAAGATGGAGGCTAGAGATGGAGGAAATTTGGGAAGAAACATATTGTGGAGTAAGGAAGAGGAAGAGAAGGGGGATGGAAAGGGGGATGGACAAGAAAGAAGAGCAACTGGGAGCAGGGAGCAGTAGGACACTGTGTCCTGCCAAGGTCGAGGTGAAAGCGGGGAACCTTCCTCCGACTCTCAGGCACGGAGCCAAGGAGATGAGAGTTGAAACTGAAATGGGTCTAACGCAATAAGAAAGGATGTTTCCTGCATTCAGGCTTCAAAAGCAAAACACAGGGAAATGTTATCTTTTTAAATGATTCAATGCTGCAATATAAATGGACAGGATTTGGTAACCTAGCAGCTGATGGTCTCAGACATTTTTTCCTCCTTATTCCCAATTCTGGAGTCACCGTTTTCCCTCTTGTCTGGCCTGTTAAGGAGGTGCTAGGGAAGAGAAAGACACAGGCCATGAGGTGGCTGGCCAGGCTCTACCTGGTCCACCAGGAGCAGCAGGGAACATAAAAAGTTCTTCTCCAGCCTGCCTTACTTCACTGCTTTTGATATTATTTTGCTCTAATGTGGCTGGTCCCCCAGTGGGTCTAGGCAGTGAGGCAGAGAAGGACAATACACAAAGTTTTTATTTAGTACCAGAACACCAAGCATTCAGTCATGGTACCAGGAGACACTGCAGGATGAATTGCCAGATGTTGGGGAAGGGTCTCCATTCCTGGGGGAAGCTGGAGGGCATCAGTCACTGGACATGTGGGCTGGTATCCTGCTTGCACCAGGGCTGACAGTGTCTACCTTCCTTTTCTGGTTAAAGCTAATGCATCCCTGACAAAAGCAAATCCACGGCACATGAGCAAATCCATGCTCAGACAGCTCCACACGAACCAAACCATCTCATTTCAGGTTGCACGTCCATAGCATGCAATTCAGTGCCTTTCCTTTTTAGAGAAGAGGAAAATAGTGTTGTTTACTCGCAAAGGCTGTGTTTAGAGGATGTTTGTTTTTCCTACAGGGTGCTATTTCCCTGGCTTGCAAGTGTTGGACTTTCACCTGTCTGCTTGCTACGAGGCATTTTCCAGACTTTGATTTCTTTCATATACTGTCAAAGACTCGCTGCTGGTTTGACTGGCTAAGGCTTTGGCAGATCACGGAAGGTCATTTATTTAGTCCTTCTGCAAAACAAGCAGTGCTTCCCTGTGTCCGTGTGCCCTGGGTGGTTACCGGAGCGAATGCGTGGCTTTGTGTCCCAAGGCAGCCCCTGGCAGGCATTGCAGGTTTCCCTTTGGAGCGTCCTCCTTAGTGCTCCAGCTGTGCTCCCCCCAGCAATGCGGCTCCTGCACAGATCCCAACGCTCGAGCTCTGCCCGATCCCAAGCTGGTGTCACAGCATTCCCAATGATAACAGTTTAGGGGGGCAAATGAGGAGGAGACCCTCCTTCCTCTTGTCTCTCTGTATTTACTGTGACAGCCTGAAACACTGAGCTGTTCCATTTGCCAGATTAAATTAAATACATTTGTTTAAAATTCCCACAAAAGATTTTTCCTTTTTTTTTTTCCTAAAAACCACCTTAACTGAAAAGTGGATTTTTGCCTTTGTAAAGCACACCGTGATTTTGCCATGGATTCTTGCTGCTGTGTATGCCCACACCAAGGCGCAAGGCCACTCACCCTCTTTCTCTTTGCGTTCCTGCCACAGTTTGCAGAACTGAAACACTGTCCTAGCCATCCGTGGCATTGCTGTTTTCATTGTTGTTGTTAAACCAAAAGCAAACACACAAAGCACAGTGATCATTTGCTTGCTGCTTATGAAATGTAGACGGGAAGATTATACGTCTCCTGAAGCCTCCTGTTTCTTTTGGCTTGTGGGTTGATTTTTTGTTATTATTTTATTTTTTTCCTCTTCCCTGGTTTCTATTCTGCAGCTGAGCACACGAGCACCAAGCCATGGAGACATGCCATCAGTGTACAGCGAGGCAAAGCTGGTGGCTCAGACGTACCAGTCTGTCAAGCAGCAGCTGTTTAAAGCATTTCAGAAAGCAGGTCTGGGCACCTGGGTGAAGAAACCCCCAGAGCAAGATCAGTTCCTACTAACTGCATAAATCACTTGACACCTTTGCTACATGACCGGATCAGATCGACTGGCAAGAAGGCTAGGCAGCACGCGTGAGCTGCAGGAACTGAAGCAGTCCAACATTAAACAGCAACTTCCATGGGAATATTCTCTTTTTGTTCTTTATTGGAAATACATAAATATAAATGTGGCTTATTAATGCACTGACTTGACTTTAGGAGACTGCTTTTTCATGACCCCTTCCCAAGAACCAACCAGCCCAAATTATAACACCACCCGCAGCAAAGATTTTGCTGCTTTTTGTGATTGGTGTTGCAGTTAATGGAGGCAGCATCTTGATTTCCGATGCTGGAAGGCCACCTGTCTGTGTAAAAACAAACAGTTTGTTTTCCCTCACACAGTCAGTGTGAGATTCAACACTGAATAATGGAAAACAGTAAGCAAACATTGCAGTACCCCAGGCACATGGCATGACAGCAGGTTACCGAGCACCCATAATCATCCACGAAACGGTGTCTATCCTCTATGCAAAAGTCACCCTCTTATCTGCCTGAATTTGTGAGGGAAAATCCAAGCCTCAAAGATAGGCAGCATTTTCAAACTCCGCTTTCCACTTTTGGATCTGAGCATGATGCTGGGCATCAGGAGCCCCTTGGTTTTACAATGACCCAATTTGTAAGAAAGACAACTCTTAGCCACCAGCCAGTCCATGGCTGCAGCAGCAGGTGTCCTTCACGGGCAGCTTGAGCCTGAGTGTGTGCAGTGACGTACACCTCCTCCCGGGCTGGAGATGAAGGCTGGTGTGACCATATTCCCCACACTGCCCAAAATCAGACAGGATGGAGCTGGGACCTAGCACCTCAATTTTCAATGCTCACAAGATCTACGGTTTTAGCTTAAGCTGATACAAATTCAAGATGCTCAGCTGATCTGAAAACTCATGGGTTGGGTGACCACAGCTAAGACATCTCAAAACAGAGGCCACATCTGATGCTCAGCTCCTTTGTGCCTCAGTTTTCCATCTGTCTAATGGGGATAATTCTACTTATCTGCTTCACATCTAAGGAACATGTCAGGAGTGGTCTGGTCATAAACAACCATGTAAGTCAGATCCTGTCACTCTTACTGCGAGTTTTACCTCTGCACATTGCCCCAAGAACATAATAACAACAGATGGTACCGTGGTCTTGGGTAAGGTTTTACTCAATATAAGAGTTTTCAGATTCTATCTCTGTACAAATGCTAAGTATTGCTATTATTCATAGTCAACTGCAGTGTGAAAAGCAGGTGGGATTTTTCAGTCAAAAGAAGAGTAATGTCCATGATTATGCGTCTTCTTCATAACTACGACTTTGAACAATCTCAGACTTAGTCAGCATGCAGAAAATGCAGTCATGGGAGAACGAAGCTTTCATAGTCCAACTGCAGAACCACCCTTCAAACACTCTGTATATTTCTTTTGGGTTTTGTTTTTTTTAAATGACAGGATTTGCGGGTATAGAACTACTGTTTTCTTTTTATTCCTGTGATTCTCTTTAAATATGTATATAACATGCTGCTACTGATTTGTGATAATTGTCTTGGTATTTTCTCAGAACTGTCAAGCTAAGTTACTTTTCAAACAACACAAGGCTCATATTTTTCCATGTAATTTCCTTTACACGGGAAACTGTTCCTATCAATAAAGATAGATGCTCTTTGTATAGGGTTTATCATGTTTGGAGAGCCATATACAGTAAATACATTGTTTATTGATGCCCACAATAGAATAGCTACAGTATTTTGATGAGATTTTATTTTTAGATTATAAACCACAAGATGTATCTATAGTGTCTTGTATAAAAACAATTGTGATAAACTAGAATTTTTAAATTAGATAAAACAAAGCTCTCTCCTTCCAGAAACCTTTTCAACAAAATAATACATTCCATATTAACTACCAAAAATATTTAAAAAATCCTTAGAGTAGAAATAGTAAAAAAAAAAAAAAGGTGTTTGAATAATGCAAGGATTTTGTGGTAATCACTTTGTCCCTATAACCTCTTTTGAGTAACAGTTAGAGTATCTTCAGCACTTTCTGAACTCCCCATTACCCTCACATGATCCCTTCCTTTAAACCCTGGTGTTACTCGTGCGTGGTGGGGGCCAAGCAGGTCCCCACAGGACCTTGGTGGGCACCCAGCCAAGGGCAGCAGGGATGCTGCATGAGGATGAGTAAAGCAGCATGCTAGAGGGGTATAGGAAGGCCACTGATGCTGTCTCTGTGTCCCAGAGGAAAAATGTGGTCCCCAAGAGAAAAGCCTGAGCAGAGAGTGGTCCAGGCTGGTGCATCTCCTGCCCAACCCGTCTGTGGACCTTCTGCTAGGCCTGTAAGCCCCAGTGATGACCACCTTTTGGGAATGGAGGGCTGCGACACCCCATGGAGGCAGAAGCCGTAATGTCTTCTGCATTCCCTCCCTAAACTAGTCTTTATCCAGCACCTGAGAGGCCTCCAGGATCCTCTTCCCTCTCTGCTCTGGCCTGGCACAGCTCCAGCTCCAAAACCACGTGATGCTCCCCCAGCCAGAGCTGCAGCCTACGGGACAACAAGAGGAGCAGCTGGTTATTTCCAAGGACAAAAAGAAAGGTATGGTGGGACTGAATTATCCTTTGTTGCAAGGATATGTAAATTCAACCTTGGATTCAACTGCCGGAGTTAATCTAGCAGCAGGGACCAAATGGGGTCCCTGTTGTCCATGGGCATTCGATGATCCAGTTTAAGGCTCTGGAGTTGCACATGCTTGCATTAAGGTTGAATTTGACCTTAGATGTCTACTTTTTCTCATTACGTGCAACGACAGAGAGTGAGGGGACAATGTCCCAGAAGCACAAAGGAATAACACTCAGCATTTCCTGAAGCAAAGGAAAACTTACTCAATAGTAACTCTTAAGTGAAGATTATGTACATAACACGCATGAGTGAATGGCAATACTGTACTAATGGATGTACATTTGTAATATTTGTAAAAAAAAGAAACAAAAAGGAGAACAAAAGAAAATAAATCTGAATTTACATATGTGAATTTGCTGCTAAGTTCTGTAAATTGCACTTCAGTGATATCTGATAAGTGAATGTTTCTGTTAAGTGAATAAAATACCAAGTAAAATTGTTCTTTCATTGTTGACCATTTTTCACTGTGGCTTATGAAGTAGTTTTTACATGCTCTAAAATGTAAATATATGCTTTTACACTCATCCCCTGCAATTCTCTAGGCAATTCTGTCTGTTCTTATTCGGTTGGGATTTGCTTCATTTTAGGAAACCTACACCTGCACTGAGAGATGAATGTGTCTTTCAGGATGGAAGAAGCTTTGCACAGGCACAGTCTTTTTCTGGAAGAGTAAACAGAGTCCCTCTCTAACTAACTCATTCTTCCTCAGTTACTCTAAAAGTCCCTTCTTAAATTAAATTTGTCTTTGCAAACACACACTTCATGAGACTCACTACATAAAGCTCATTAAGAAAACTAAAGTGATTGACAACAGGTATGATGAAGGCAGTGCATCTGCTTGAAGAAGACATCCTCATCAGCGGGATGGCCTTGGCTCACTCTTGCTTTGAAGTCTCAGCATTCCGCTACAGCCAACTGAAGTCATGTTGAGCTTGTCTGACACCACCCACAGAACAGTTTAACATGTGTTAGTATATAACCATGACCTTTATCTTGAGGTAGTTTGCCCCAGCCAAGTCTTGATAAGATCGCTGGTGTTGCCTCCTCCAAAACCTTTCAGAATAGTCCAATGTCAAGTAACTATGTATCCTAACAGTGAAGATTGTCTAGAAAGAGAATTTTCCTATTTTTCTCCTTGTGACAGATTTGATTCCAGGCTGGAATCAAACCTGGTGGCTCTCGAAGGAGCCCAACGAGCTGTGCAGGTACCACAGCCCTTCACTGACTAATATTGAAGAAGTTGGTGCTAGGACTGCAAGTACCATCCCTTAGGCTTCATTTCTCCAGAATGAAAGGGCAGGAGCAGGGTCTGTGCAGAGAGATTTTTTTTGTTTGTTTGTTTGTTTTCTTCTTCAATTAAGACTTTTCTGCAGTTGTTTTTCCTTAGCTTGGATTTGCATCATTAAGTATCTAGGTGAAACAAGGAGAAGCAGGGAGAGTAGAGCACTTACAGGATGATGTTTTCTCCATAGAAAATGTCAGTTTGAGCTGACCTCATTCCTCTACCCAAGGTGGATTTTTAAACTGGGAAAAAACCAACTAATATAAGTTTCAAACTGTATTTGCACATATGTATTGTCTGGCTATAACTCAATATAGGTAAAATAAAATCTGTATTTTATCCCTTCCCCACAACCTTACATCCTACCAGTAAAAAAATTTATACAACATTTTCCTAAAGAGGAAGGAGAGAAGTTGCACCAGTAGAAAATCTTTTCGTGCTTCTTCTCTCCGTGCTCCAGATGATGAACTTACCATCATTTTTGTTGTCAAAAAATTAAACTGACAAATTCCTAATTTGGAAAAAGTCCTGTGGAGCACAGGCTTCCTCAGTGGAGGTGCTTCAGATGGGGCGTACAGGGCCAAGCACAGAACTGAGCCAGAGCCAACACCAGTGTATGCAGGAAATGCACAACCACAGGGCCCAAATCACAGCAGGTGCCATAAAGTGCTAGTGAGAGCAGGGGGAACACAGTTCCCAGGCATATTCCTTCCCACATCCCCAGGAGATCTATACCAGGTCAATTGTATCAGTCTGGGAGCCCGGAATATGTCCATACCTAAGTAGTTTTGCCATGGCTGAGTTCACAGTGGGCAGGCTCCAGTCTATTTTCTCTTCCAAAAGTAACTGCTACTGCCCATCCATGGCCGAAACAGTGACACAATTTGGATGCCGAAAAACTATTATGAAGCAGTCATTAGGGTAAATTATATGGATAGATCCTGCATTTAATCTCATTAAGTTTAAAGGCTAAATACCAGTACTGCGTTTAAACCTTCACAGGCATACACCCCACCATCATCAAGCTCAGTTATTTCTCTTCCAACTGTGTATTGGAAAAACAACAGCATAAAACATGAACAAACTAATATGTTGACTAATAGAGGGCTTTAGAGAAG